TATATATATATATATATACACAAAATATACAGTAAAATTATATTATTGTGCTAATTTCAGTTTCATTGGCCATAATCTCTTCCCATTAATAGATATAATTATAAATAGATAGCGCGCATACTATTAATATATGTATCCTGTGACTCAACGTCATTAAAGTAATAAGCTACGATTCACCACATCGTAATTTCACTAGAAATTACATTGCGGTCAGACACTCTAACGGTATCTGGCAAGCAGCTACATATACGAGCAAGTTCAAGGGCTTCTATTCCGACAGTTTCAATGGAAATTTCGTTCCTTTATCCGAGCCCTGCCATATCCTAATCAATATTATCTTCGCGCGTGTAGAATATTCCGTCATCTCAAAAATAGTTTCGTCGTTTCGTGGATATATGTATATGTATCGCGTATTACGGTAGATTTGAAAAATCATTTCCGGCGCGCAAACCGAACGCAATGACATCCGCAGAATCGTAGTCCCACAGAGTGCAGAGCAAGATGTAGTGCGATTTAACGATAACGCGCACAAAGATAAAAAGGGGAGAAAACGCACACATAAATATATATATTCGAAAAATAATGACAGTTAAATCCCGCCATAAGAATACGACGGCTCTCGGTTTCGGAAGCGAAAAGGAAAAGCATCGCGGAAGTCGTAAGAATATGTATACCGATAATTCCTTCGAGGTCGTAAACGACGTGTCGCAAATGACGTGCACAAAGACCTAGCCGTTGCTCCGCCGAGGCCCAGGCGATCGATGCGACAAAGAGTCGGAGAAAATAGATGTACGTACTGATTTTATGGTGCACGTGGTGCTCTGCGGGATCTAACGATAAGATCAGGCATCGGGGGTCGGTGTTCCGTTATGCTATCGGCCTGCGGGGAAACGCGACTGTCATAGCCGAGAGCGCGTCGTTGACTGACGAATGGCTGGCGAACGACGCTCCGCGAACCCTGCCGGCCGGTGGTGAATTTGTGGCTCGCTCCGCGAGAGCGGGCCGATTACCTCGACATTGAGCGATTAACTCTCTTATCTTAGTCCTTAATTGTTTCTTTTTTTTTTTGAAGAAAAAACGTAAATACATAATAACTGCTTTATGGTATAATCGACTGATTCTATAAACGTGTCGATTAATCTCCAGTAGTTTTTTTTTTTTTTTTTTGGTCTGCGTTTCTCTATACAATGATAAAGAGATTTGAAAACATTGATTTATTTGTTTATTTTGAACATCGATAACTTCTTCATCTTTTATTAATTAGAGACTTTACTTATATATATTTAATCGATTTATTCGTGCACACATTTTTCACTTCTTAACCGGTTCCTGGATTCCGCAGAATAACTTATAAAATTCAGTCCCTGTCAGATGTGAATAAATATATATATTACAGATTGTTTCATTTTAAATGACGCGCGCGAATATCTTCGTAATTATTGATTTTTCAAAATGATATCGAAAAATGTTTCAGACAAAAATTGAATGATTTTAAGATAAACATGATCAATTATTGCTATGCATAAATTATTTACTGATAGTGTAGATTGAATATTTAAATTTTGATATATGTTACATTGATATTGATATAAATTGATTTAATAGATTGTGAATTACGTTGATGAGATCATCTGTTTTAATTATACAGATTTATCATTTATTCCAATTCTATATGTTATAATTTGATGGTATCTTTTATAATCTTAAATCTACGTACTATCTGAGATTGTTAATATTAAGTAATCTAGTACATACATTATATCTTTATATTTAAAATTTATAAAATGGTTTTCCACATAAAATACATTGCTATTTCTGTAATTTACTTCAAGCTTTTTCATTATTACTTTACTATATTCAATCACTTTATTCAATTAAGAAAATACAAGATCTTTATAAAAAACTTTATCATAGAAAGCGCATTAAACACTTTACCAATTTTGATCTGCACAAGAATATAGAATTACACAATATTTTAAAACATCTCAATCATTTAGAAAAATTTATTTATGTAAAATGTATAAACATACATATCTATGATTGACGCATGTATTATATGTATATAATCACAGATATTGCATATATTATTTTTTATCTATCTTTTACTTGCATTTGTACGCTTTCTGCAGATAAATCTCCGCTTTGGACAAATAAAGAGAAGAGAAACAGTAAGAAAGTTTAGAAGCATTAAGTAGATAGAAAGTATTAAGAGCAAAACACCAGTTCCATTCTGTAATGACAAGCAAGAAACAATTACTCTATATATATTTACTTATATTAGATAATCCCCCCCCCCGCGCGAGCGTATAATTAAAAGATAGACAAAAATGGTTGTAATAAAATATAAACTCTGTTTCTGCAAAATAGGAACAATGTATTTCAGGTATGAATTCGAAAAAAATATGCTGCAATGTCTCTCTTACATATAACAAATATTAAGTCACTAAAATTAAAATGTCTTCCGCTATTTTCTTCCTTATTGTTTATCCTAATACTTTTTATTCTTAACTTATAAAATAAATCGAGGAATTGTGTGCACAATAACAATGTAAAAATTAATTTGATCATGTCTTGCGCGACAGATCTGAATATTATGAACAATTAAAAAAGTTAAAATTCATTCTCCCTTCCTTCCTCCACTTGTTCTTCTCTTTCAATTTATCCTGAAGTTACTTAAACCCCATCTTTCACAAAAGATGCGAAAAAGATATTTAGATTCTTATTGCATTTAACCCCTCAATTTATGAATGTATGACACTTGACTGCACATTTAAAAGAAATCTTCTAATAATAATGAATATGAATATATCAAACTAAATTTCAGAACAAAATATATTGACGAACTATCTCCTTTTTCATAAATAACATTAACACAAAGTTGTCATGGGTTGTGCCTTGCAATTCTTTCGGCATGTGCCTGAAAATAGATAATTGATTGAAAATGATTTTAAACGTCGTTATAAAAATGTGAAACAAAGCAATTCTCTTAAAAGAGAATTAAAATAGATACTAATTAAAAAATCCTGCTTATTCATAATATATCAATGGCTTAATACAATTATATTACATATATGTATATATAAACTGTTGGCTAATTTTAAGCTATTGCATTCCCATAAATTGTATATGACGTATTTTTGTTTTTCTTTCATACTCGAAACTGTTTTCTATGCATATAACATTTATGCTTTGTGCTAAACCATTGATGTTTATCAATATATAGATTATGCTATCTGCATACCGGCATTATATTGGCAAAAGCAACATCTTCATGGGGGCCTCTTGTTTTAGGCGGTAATTTTGGTAAAAGAGCATTGACATTTATATCGACTTCAGGGTTTTTTTGCTTAATATGTTTGAGTGTTTCTTGACACACTTTAATTACTGATTCTGCATTCATACGACGATCATCACTCCATAATGGACAGCTATGTATATGTAACAAAAAACGTAATATATAATGTTCACTCAATTGCACACACAAATAAAAAATTGAATTGCATATTATCAAAAAACTCACAGTTTTGAATTTTGAACTCCTTGACCTTGAAAGTGTCTATAATCGGTTACTGGTTTATCACAAATATAACACATTTGAGCACCGCACAGACAAGTCATTTTGTTACAGCCCTCTTCCTTGAAAAATTTTCGTCCGCACTTGTAACATTTCCGTACAAGAGCTTCAGTCATTTTTTCTTCCAAACATAAACGTGCAACGTCTGATTTCCCTTCGTTGCATTTCAGAGGGATGTGATTGAGTTCCTTACAAAATCTAATACAAAAACAATGTAATAGTGCATATAATATATGCAATTCTTATATATTTCTGTGCTATATTTATTTCTGATTATATTTCTGAGGATAAGTAAAGCGCTAAGAACCATCAGTGCTTTCAAACATGCAATATAAAATGACATTAATAAAAAAAATATATATATATATATATATATATATATATATATATATATGTGTGATTTAATTATATATTGCACATAATAGTATAAAAAATATAAAAAATGTAATTATTTATCTATAATTGCATAAATTATGTGATTGCGAGAGTCTACGTTATCTTCTTTTTAAATACATCAGATGGAGTAGAACTTATTTGTCCACGTCGCCAATTGGCCAATTTAAAATAGAACTCTCTGATAGTACTCCACCAAGTGTAACTAGTAAGATGCAAGAAACTGTCGCATATCTTGGTACGTTCATAGTCAATGATTATGGAATACAGTGAGAATAGAAAACAGGCGGAGAGAGAGACATAATATCTACGCATTTTATACAAATATTTTATGATTCTGGGAAAAAAGATATTGCGACCATGTCTACGGTGATTATATACATTTTAAAAATATATTATGATAATCGTAGATAATATTAAACATCAATCGTTTAATACATGATTCATTTACACAGGTCTTAATTTCCTAATCCCCATAGTTTGTTATTGACATTTAATTAAATTTTAAGATCCTAAGTTGTGAAGATATTTTGTTAAA